TAGGGGCAATCAGGCAGGCAGGCAGGCAGGTGAGCGGTTAGGAGCCAGCAGTTTTGGATGTCCAATCCTTGTAAACCGACAGTAGGACATCCTTCGTGGGGTCCCAGATTGGAAAGGGTGCAGGCCAGGCTGAGGGACAACCCCCCCCATGCACAAATTTTGTGCACTGGGCCACTAGTATACTAATAAAAAGGTTGTGGGCCTTAAGGTTGGACAAGCCTGGTAATTCTTTAGAGAACTTTAGAGTGAAGCATTCTTGGATTATTACAATTGGAAGTAATTTTTTTCCACCTCAGATTTTCTCATTATACTTAGTTTTATTTTCTTGGAATAACACAGAAGGTAATCTTCTACAGGGCTGGAATTATAATCTATATTTCTGTTTGCCTTTACTAATTTGCACTGACAAGAAACTTAACATGATGGCTTGGCTCATTGAAAGATGAATCAGGAGTTGTAGGTGGAATCTATGGATGCACTTTGGAAGGAAGATTTTATACTAAGATCAAATGTAAAACTTCACATTTATCCTTTATATTTTCTCCCAAGAGATGATAAATACTGTTAGAAGATCTAAAATGTTGGGTACCTAAAATGAATATCGAGTTTTCTTTTTGAAAGTTCATAATAACTAAGGAGATTTAGATATTTTTGAGTTCTCTTCACTATACATTCAGACATGATTTCTTGATATTAAATAATCTCAAAGTATTTTTTAGTTGGTCTCATAAAAGCCCCCAATTTTCTTTCTCTCTCTCTCTCTTTTTTTTTTTTCAGGTTATTCTGGACTTTATGAAGCCATTGAAAGTTGGGATTTCCACAAAATAGAAAAGTTGGAGGAACACAGATCGCTTTTAAGGCGTTTGCAACCAGAATTTAAAACCAGAATTAATCCAAATGATATCCTTCCTGAACTATCTGAATGTTTAATTAATCAGGAATGTGAAGAAATTAGACAGGTAATTTAATTAAAATAAAATTTTGAATTGGGAAATAATTTGAACATGGAAAATGTTTTCTGTTTTCTGTAATGCTTTAGACCTAAGAAAGATCCTGCAATCCACAAAATTCTTCAAATCTCAGGCATAATTACCTAGAATAGTAATTTAATTGTGAATTGAGTAATTTTTATGTCACAAATTTTTTCAGGTTTGTCCTATTTTCAGTTAAAAAGATTTTTATTGCTTTCTGAATAATGTTTTATGCAAATTTAAATAAAATCAACTAGTTTAGCAAATTTAAAAAAGCCATATAATCTAGTGGCTAAGTATTCAGGCTCTGGACACAAATAAACTTTGTTAGAATCCTAACTCAAACACTTACTAGTGATATGATCTTAGGCAAGTTACTTAGTTTCTCTAAGCCTCTGTTTATTCATGTTTAAAATGGCGTCTTATTACTATATTTTTATAAATATTAAATTAGAGAATATATGTAAAGTGCTTACATATGCCTGGTGCATAATAAGTGCTCAATAAATTTTAGTTATTATGATTATGATTAATAATAAAAGTCATGTAAATCTCACCACCTTGAAAAACCCATTTGTTAATATTTGGTTATGTCCTTTCAAATATCTCTCTATGCCAATATACCCATATTTTGAATGGCTAGTATGTGGGTTGTTTTCCTAATATTGCTGATGATGATTGAATATAAGATCTCAGAGGAGGTGAGAATACTTGGCTTGACATAGTGATACAATATGAAGAGGACAAGGACAAAGGAAGGGTTTTTTATTTTATTTTATTTATTTATTTATTTTTAAATATACATTTTATTGATTTTTTACAGAGAGGAAGAGAGAGTGATAGAGAGTTAGAAATGTTGATGAGAGAGGAACATCGATCAGCTGCTTCCTGCACAACCCCTTCTGGGGATGTGCCCACAACCAAGATACATGCCCTTGACCAGAATCGAACCTGGGACCCTTCAGTCCGCAGGCCGATGCTCTATCCACCCACACAATTTTTTAAAAAACCCTTCCTTTGCCCTAATCCCGTGGTCGGTAAACCACGGCTCACGAGCCACATGCAGCTCTTTGGCCCCTTGAGTGTGGCTCTTCCACAAAATACCAACTTCTGCACATGGGCCACGAAGTTTCAACTGCACTGTACGTGCGCTCCCACACATGGTATTTTGTGGAAGAGCCACACTCAAGGGGCCAAAGAGCTGCATGTGGCTCGTGAGCCGTGGTTTACCGACCACGGGATTAGGGCAAAGGAAGGGTTTTTTAAAAAATTGTGTGGGATGGGGCAAAAATGTTCATGAATAAGACCTATTGAACCAAACAATAATTTTAAATCAGATAGCACTTAAGTTGGTATTTCTTCAATAAAAACTCATAAAAGGAAAACTTTGAAATAATTGATCAGTCAACTGCAGTTGTCTTGCTCAGGTTTGTTCCAACAAGGGGCCGATGGCAGGTGCAGAGAAAATGGTTGAGTGCCTTCTCAGATCAGACAAGGAGAACTGGCCCAAATATTTGAAACTTGCTTTGGAGAAAGAAGAGAGCAATTTTAGTGAACTGTGGATTATAGAGAAAGGTAGGATTTTGAAGGAACAGTTCTGAAGGGGAGAGGGGAGGGTCTGAAAACATGCTCTGCTTCCTCCTAGTTCTCCTTAGGGCTTCCTTCACTCCTACCTGTTTTTCACTCGCTGTCAGAGGCATTTTTCCCCTCTGATACCCATCGCTACCTCTCTAATGAGAGATCAGCATGAAATTGAATTCTGGAAGGCAAGGGGCTACTTGCCTACAGAAGTAGTTTGGGTGTATATAACCCCTAAATATGGACCAGGGCAAACCGTTCTCATCCAGAATTAGCCCATCTGGCCCAAAGGACTTGGCGGAGGCAGGGTCTGAACTCACTATTTGGGTTTAGATTATCAGAGAAATCTCTTGAAAATTCAAGAGTTAAGAGGGTCCAAACCAGGACTTATCCCTTTTCACAGTAGATTCATGATAGACATTGCTTGGTTCTCTGCCTGGAAGCCATCTGGAACTGAACCAGAGCAGAATTGAAAAAAAGAATCTATTGTGATTAAGTATCTGAGTCCTGAAGCTAACCTCAAAGCATCATTTTAAAGCAGCGGTTCTCAACCTGTGAGTCGCGACCCCTTTGGGGGTCGAACGACCCTTTCACAGGGGTCGCCTAAGACCATCGGAAAACACATATATTATTCATAATGTTTTTGTGATTAATCACTATGCTTTAATTATGTTCAATTTGTAACAATGAAAATACATCCTGCATATCAAGTATTTACATTACGATTCATAACAGTAGCAAAATTACAGTTATGACATAGCAACGAAAATAATTTTATGGTTGGGGGTCACCACATGAGGAACTGTATTAAAGGGTTGCAGCATTAGGAAGGTTGAGAACTACTGTTTTAAAGGTTGAGTTTGGTAAACCCTCTTAGCTTTTTGTGGCTTCTTTAGATCACAAGTTGTTCCAGAAATACACATCTGATTTCCTGGGGAGGCCAGGAAAGGAAGACATGAATATCTTCTTTAGTGTGCATATGAACCACCCAGGGATCTTGTTCAAATGCAGATTCTGTTGCAGTAGGGGTTCAAGAGTCTGCATTTCTAACAAGTTCCTGAAATTGCTGATCTATGTCCTACACTTTGAATAATAAAGTCGGAAATGACTTTGGAGTTCAAACTCCAAATTGAGGTAGCAAACTTGAAAAGATTATTTTAATTGTTTTAAAGGTGACAGGAGTGTTTGTGAGAAATCTTAATGGGAGTTTACAATTTTAGTATTATGACCTCATTGTGAGGCTTTCACAATCAAGACTGGAATCAGTTTATGTAAAGATTCTAAGATGCTTCTTGGTCTCATAAAGGTGCAAAAGAGGAAACGAAAGAGCTTGAGGATGGGGAAATAGAAACTTCCGACGTACAGATTTTCTACAAGGAAGAACCAGAATGCCAGAATCTTAGTCAGAATTCATGTCCACCTGCAGGTACCCAGCACTCTTTTTTCTTTTCCATATGTTGCCCTTCAAGTATTTTGTGTGGGGACTTGTTTTCAGTACCAAAAGTCACAGCCTTATGAAAAGGTTTTTAAGGGAAAGTAATAAAGAAAAGAGAATTTACATGACAAGAAATACTTTTTTCTATGGTTAGGAATTCAATTGTCAACTTCTTCCTCTTCTATCTTCTTTTTTTGGTCTTCTTTTATCACTAAGAAAATATAGGCAGCTCTACATGAAAATGCAAATAGTCCTCCCAGAAACTCAATGTCCATGAGCTCCTGCTTTCACAGACAGGATTTTAAAAATCAGCCCTGCTTTCTAATGAAATATTTCTACTATTTGAGAGTCATTTGCTATCTTTCCTTCTAGGATCCCAGGGCTGCAGTGTAAATTGATGAAGTTTGTGCGCTGCCCATGTGTACGCAGCTGAGGGTTGAGAGGGGATTGAGATCCAGCTTGTGCTGTTTGTCAAAAAGTGCGTTGAGGGGCTATGTCCTCTGAGCGGAGAGCTTTTTCTAATTCATACAAAGGCCCGGTATGAGTTACCTGTGGCTGTAAAAGGCCCATCTTGTTCTTTTCTTGAGACCAGAAAGTTGCATAATAAGCCACAGTAAAAAGTTATTTACCAAAGGGCATCAGGGGGAAAATTATGATATACATTAGTAGTATTAGAAGAAAGATGTGATTTGGGGATAACACCATGAGAAGCAAATTTATAGATTACTTCTGCAACTGAATGATTCAAGTTTTTGGTCATTTCAAAATAAAATCAATGAATATAAGTTGCTTTCAACTTTTCTGACATGTGAAAGGTCCTTAGTGAACTCTCTTAACCTTTTAGAAAGTCTCCTTTTCTTTCAAATGGATAGTTTGGACTCAATAGATGATTTTCAAGGTATTTGTGGCTCTTAACATATTTCCATTTGCTTATCTATTAGTGATATAAAGCCTCTGATTGTTTTTTAAAACTTCTGGTTCTTGCCTGCTGGCATGGCTCAGGGGTTGAGCATAGACCTATGAACCAAGAGGTCACAGTTTGATTCTGGTCAGGGCACATGCCCAGGTTGTGGGCTCAGTCCTTAGTGGGGGGATGGGGGGTGCAGGAGGCAGCCAGTCAATGATTCTTTCCTCATCATTGATGTTTCTATCTCCTTATCCCTTCCTCTCTGAAATTAATAAAAATTTATATTAAAAAAACAACAACAGAAAACTCCCTTTATAACTCTGTAAACATTCCTGATTACGGGGATATCCAATGTGCTCTCCTCTGGCCATCTTGACCCAAAGATGGCCAGTCTATGTCACACATCTTTCTTAACTTCCAGGGAACTAGGTTCACCCCATAGTCCCCAGGAAAACCTTTCTTTAAATTCTTTAACATACATTCTAAAACAGTGGGTTTGGAGAAACGACTTCCCATATTTGCAGTTAAACCATGTAATACCTCCCAGTTAACAGAGACACAGGACAAACACAAGGTAACTTTCGCTTCACACAGACTCGTACATTCACAGTCAGTTTGAGCTTTGACTTCCACTCATGGAAAGTCCCTGAACCGAGGCAAATATTTTGCCTAAGTGGTGATCAGCCACTTCTTCTGTCCCAAAAGACAGGCCTGAACTCAGACTGCTCCCCCCGGGGGAAAACTCACCAGTCAGACGTCTGGTTCCAGAAAGGGCTTTTCTGTCCTGCTTGAAGTCCACTGAGGCGCAAGCGGAGGTCCCGGTCATCCAGGCCCGATGAGGACTGGAATCCAGTAAATCACTGGAGGCATACCTTTCCCATCTTCAGGAGGGAGCTGGGCAAAAGGACCGGCCATTGGCCTTTACCAGTGGTGCCCTAAGTAGGCAGCATGACTGGTATTTTCCCAGCCAACACACCAGATTAATGCAGAAGAATTAATCAGCTGGACACTCAGAGGATATTCAGAAAAATAGCCTTTATTTCTAGATGCACACATGCCGTGACTCAGGGGAGTCAGTTTCCAAATCCTGAGTGATGAATATGGATGAAGCTTTCCCTTTATACCCTTTAGTTTCTTTGTCCCCCAAATATAGATCAGGCTTCTGGACTTTTCATGGGCTTTGCAGCCCCCTGTGAGTTAGGATGGGGGAAGTGAGATTACACTCAGAGGCCTGTCTGGTGCCAGCACTGCCAAACCCCTCAGGGTGTTGTATGTGGTTCACGGTTTATGGCCTCTGTAAAATGGGAGTATTCCGGGAAACAGGTTCTGCAAGGCAGGACAGGCATCACAGATAGAAAGGAGTTTATCGACAAGCAAGGGTGTGCGTCAGAATTCAGATAGCTAGCCCCCAAATGTCTTCTTTTCCCCTTCACTTTTGAGAGAAAATAGCATGTGAGAGCCTTCAGAATTACAAAGCATGACTGCTCTTCAAGAAGCGATTGCTTTGAGAATTCAAGATTTATACAGTTTAGTGTTTTTCAAAGATTTCTTGCTGTTTTGTTCCATGTAGCATTTCCTTTAACCGGTGGGCATCTGTGTTGCCCTGAATTAAGCCATTTGTTCTTTTATTTTTTTCTTCCCTTTTTGCCATCACTACTTTGTCATTGAGGGAGAATTCTTCACTTGAAATCAGTGGAGAAGCTAGAATGTTAAAAACAAGGATTGTAAACTTTCCCACATGAGGCCCTTCTTACTGTAGTCAGCATTCCTGTCTGTCTGACAATAGATAGCTATTGCCTTGATCCCTCAGGCAGAAACTCCTTGGTAATTATGTTCCTTTTGTGTTTCAGAAGCATCTTGTACTCAGAGCCCAATTAAGCCAAGAAATTACCAACTAGAGCTTGCTCGTCCTGCTTTAGAAGGAAAAAACACAATAATATGTGCTCCTACTGGTAAGCTGATTGCCAGAACTTAGATGGTTTGTTTCTCTGCTTCCTTTTTTCCCCCCTTTTATTGAATACTGGGATGAAATGGGCAAGTTTTAGTTTTTTTCTTGTTCCATTTGTCTTTTGAGAAAACCATGTTATTAATATAGTCTCAAGGTATTTTAAAGAACCCGAGGGGGGAAAAAAATGCCATCTTTTCGCTTGCTTCAGGCCCTGACTGTTTGAGTTCATATTACCTAGGGAGTAGGTTAATATTTGTTAGTCCTGGTATAAATTCTGCCATTGTTTACCCATTCACATTACCGGTTTACTAGTCCATCCAGTGGTTTTAGGAGAGCCAAAAATAATTACCATTCAACAGAAATATTTTAATAGGATATTAGTGACCTTTTCTTTTTCTTTATGTTAAAAGGTTGTGGGAAAACCTTTGTTGCACTTCTCATATGTGAACATCATCTTCAGAAATTTCCGCGAGGACAAAAGGGGAAGATTGTGTTTTTTGCTAATCAACTCCCAGTGTATGAACAGCAGAAATCCGTCTTCTTAAAATATTTTGAAAGACATGGGTAAGTATAACAGTTGTTCGAACTTGTTTTTCTCTAGCTTTATGTAACTGGGGTGCTTTCTGCTTTGTTTTGGTTTTGGGAAACCATGATTCAAAAAATTCAGAGTAGATTCAGCTTTTATAGAATCCAGATGTAATTCCTTCAGGATTCAAGTCTGTTTTGTTAGCTATACCTGAAATCCTAAGTAAATGACTTAAGAGATACATTTTACATTTAACTGGCACATTTAACTTTTTAATGATTTTATGATTTATTTACTATGACTCTTTAAGTACTAGTTTCTTAGTGGCTTAATATATACTCCTAGCCATTTTAACTAGCTTGCATTTATTGATCACTTACTATGTGTAAGACGTTGCTAAGCACTTGTCTCCTTTTTGACTTAGGGAGAATGCAGTCAATTAATGTTCTGATCTAGTGTTTCATATCTTTGTGGTTTCTCACTCACACCGTGGTTGGTAATAGGCAGTTTCTGTCATTTCCAGGTACAAAATTGCAGGCATTTCTGGAGCCACAGTTGAGAATATCTCAGTGGATCAGATTGTTGAGAACAATGACATCATCATTTTAACTCCACAGATTCTTGTGAACAGCCTTAAAAATGGGACTATTCCATCACTCTCTGTCTTTACTTTGATGATATTTGATGAATGCCACAACACCAGCAAACTCCATCCTTACAATGTGATCATGTTTCATTATCTAGATCAGAAACTTGGAGGATCTTCAGACCCACTGCCCCAGGTATCTGCAACGTCAGATGGGTTCCTCAGCAGAGCTGTCACCTTCCTAAATCGTATTGATTTACTCTTTTTAAAAAATATTTTTTTACTGATTTCAGAGAGGAAGGGAGAGGAAGAGAGAGATAGAAACATGAGTGATGAGAGAGAATCATTGATCAACTGCCTCCTGCACGCTCCACACTGGGGATTGAGCACGCAACTCAGGCATGTGCCCTGACCAGGAATTGAACTGTGACCTCCTGGTTCATAGATGGACGCTCAACCACTGAGCTACATATTTCTGTTGACTTTTAGAGAGAGAGGAAGGGAGAGGGATAGAGAGATAGAAACATCGATGAGAGAGAAACATCATCGTTTCTCTACACATCCCCTGCTGGGGATCAAGCCTGCAACCCGGACATGGGCTCTGACCAGGAATCGAACCAGTGACCTCTTGATTCATAGGTTGATGCTCAACAACTGAGCACACTGGCCAGGCTTGACTTACTCTTATGGCCACAGTGAAGATGTCCTTCTCAGGTTCTAAGTCCATATTATATAACTCATTGATTAAATTTGATTCATTGGTTAATTTATCCACTTAACAAATATGTATCAGGTGCCTCCATGCACTGTGCAAGGCACTGGGGATGCAAATATAAAAAGACATATTCCTTGCCTTCAAACAGCTGAAGTTTCATGGGGAGCCAATTATGTTAGAATTATGTCATAGTATATCATGATGGCACACTATGGAGGTGAGTACATGGTGCAATCACAAGAGAAGTAAAAGAGCTCCTGAGTGTGCTGTGAAGGTAAGGCAAGTCCTAACAGAAGTTAGGTTAGGCAAACACTAACAAGAGTTTACAAGGTAGATAGCTGGGTGGTTTTCTGGAAAGGCTACTGTGTGTCCAGAGGCACAGAGGGATGAAAGAACATGGTGCGCTTAAGAATCTTGAAGCTTTTAAGTATCACTTGAGTGTAGAGTGTGAAGTAGTGAATAGCAGTAGGTGAGTAAGGATGGGAGAGAGGGAATGATTGATAGAACAAGGTGCCAAGAGAGCCCTGGCCAGTGTGTCTCAGTTGGTTGCATGTGTCCCATGTGCTGAGAGGTTGCTGGTTCCATTCCTGGTCAGGGCACATGCCCAGGTTGCAGGTTTGACCCCCAGTCGGGGGCATGCAGGAGGCAGCTGATCAATGTTTCTCCCCCACCAATATTTCTCTCCCCCTCTCCCTTCCTCTGTCTCTCAAATCAATAAGAACTTTTTTATTTTTAAAAGATGCCAGGGGAGACCAGAGGTTTTGGATAAGTAGGCAAGTAGCTGGATTAGTACAGGAGACCAGATGGAAAACCATTTTTGCTATTTTTGGTGTCATTAGAGGAGTCATCACAGAGAGTAGTTCTCAGATGGAGCAGGAAAGGGGAGAGGGTAAGAGGAATCATCACAGAGAGTAGTTCTCAGATGGAGCAGGAAAGGAAGGGAAGTTGGATATAAGCCCTCTTTTCTCTTGAACGTAGAAGATGGGAATGGAAGATGCATAGAGAGGATTTGAAATGGAAGAGAGAACTAATCCACAGAAGAATTGCCTGGTCATATTGGGGGCTCAGATGAAGTTGGGAATCATGAATTTGTAGCATAGTAACCTCACATTTTTGTACAGTTCTCTAACCCTAATAATTACCTGTTTAGGAAACAGGTGGGAAGAAATTCGGGATGGTGCCCATAGACAAAATTCAGTTGCAATCACATTTCTTACACCCTTTTCTTCTAGAAACAAAAATTGGTAGTTCAGTATTTATTGAGAAGCTATTAGAGGAAGAAACAAATATTTATTAGGTGACTGTTAACCTATATTCTTTACAAATGTTATCTTACTAAATTCACACAGCTACCATTTTAAATTGCTATTGTTACCCAGCTTTACAGAGTGGGAGCTGCTTGTCCAAGGACACACAGCCAGTGTGACATGGCTGGGCTTGGAATGGAAGTATGTCCGATTGCAGCCCTTTTCCTTTTCAGTATGTTGTTCTACTCATCATGGGGGACACACGGGTAAAGAAGGAAGAAGCCCTGCCTTGAAAGGGTTTCCTCTCTTCATATCTATGCTGATTTTTGTTCAACTCATGCATTGTGACTTCTGCATTTATTCAGTGCTTTACTTAATGAGGACCTTTCTATTTACACTGTCATAGAGAGTTTCAGGGGGAAAAAATGTCCCTGTTCTTTATTTGAAGTTGGGGGGAAGCCTGCGGTAGCAGGAGAGAGTTACAGGAGGGGCCGAGGAAATACCATGCTTTCCCCGGTCATCTCATGGCTTGGAGTGCTCTTCACAGGTCATTGGGCTGACTGCCTCGGTTGGCGTTGGGGATGCCAAAAACACAACGGAAGCCACGGAGTATATCTGCAAGCTGTGCGCTTCTCTTGACACATCAGTGGTGGCAACAGTCAAAGACAACTTGGAGGAACTGGAGGAGATTGTTTATAAGCCCCAGAAGTGTAAGTGAGATCCAGTAACAAGCCCTTTAGACTCTGTAATCCTCTACTATTCCTAGTTCAGAGCCATTTGAATGGACACTAAATTTTTACACTTTCTCTGTTTAGTAGAAACTATTTAACCCCAAACATGGAAAATAATCACATTTCTGGCTCTCTCCTCGACGGAGCTCTCTCCCCAAGCAATGGATGAACCTCAGCAATGGCCTGTAGGAAGCAAACAATCTGACTCTTCATTTCCGTAAAACTCTTACACAGAGAACAGTGAGAGGGAGAGGTGAGAAAATCTAAGCATGTAAATGGCCAGACCCGGGCTCGGTCCTTCCTGGTGTTCATGCCTGAGGAGGATACCGTGTGGTCATTCATCATT